TAGGCCCTCTGGAAAGGACTTTGAAAAAAATAGGAAAAAGTAGTCAGACTTCTGTCCACAGAGTGTACTTGGTTTCTCCCTCTCTCTGTCTCTCTCTCTGTCTCTCTCTTTCTAGCATGTACATATACCCACTAGCAATGAAAAAGGAATTTGGGGGTATGTATTAAAATGCCAATGCATTGAAGAAAATTTGGAAAAAGCATTTTTCCTTTGTGGGTCTATATATTTTTTTTTTCTAGCAAGATCTGTGAGGAAATACCAATATCAATGATAACAGAAAAACTGGTAAATGAAATAATAGTAAGAGTAAATAATATGTGCTGGCACATGGACAGTATGCTAGGCAATGGGAATGCACTGTCTCACTTAGGCCTAACAACAGAAGCTTAGTCTACATGCCCAACTAGAAGAGGGGCGCAGAGCTTGAGAGAACGACCACAGACAGCTAGTGAGGGGCTGCAGGGCAGATTCACACCCATATGCCTGCTGGGCCTTAACAGGCAGCCACTCGCCCCTCGACCCCCACATTTGGCAAAGTCTGGAGACATTTTGGCTATTGCAGTGTGGGTGAAGAAAGCCTCAGGCATCTGGGGTGGTCAGGGGTGCACCCAGAAATGCACAAGGACCTTTCCCAGTAGGACACTGTCCTTCCCAGAAGGGCAAGAGTGGAGAGGAAGGCTAGGGTGGGAACTCAGTTCTCACGTGGCTACTAGGCGATTCTGGGCACCCAGTTCGCACAGCTCCTCTGGGCATTTATTTCCACAGCTTAGAGAGCGACAGATTCTCTGGCTACCCTGAAATCTCAGGGAGGGAAATTTCCTAGTTTACCCTGTCAGGCAAATCTGTCTTTGTTTTATCTTGAAGCTCAGGTTCACTACTTGAAACTCTTTGCAAATTGCAGTGTTTAACAAATGAATTGTCTGTGTCTGGCATTCCCGTAAGTTCATTAAACATTCATAGGAAGAGGTTTCACTTGACAGTCACTTAACAAGATGTGAAACCCCGAGTCAAGTGAAGCAACCAGGTATTCTGCAAACACTTGACTCAGAGGCTGCTGCCCAACTCCAGTGGGTTATCCTAGAGGACCCTGCACCTCCCCTGTGCCATCCTGGGCAAATAAGGCAGGCACTGACCTCACCTACTTGTGCTGAGTAAGAAAAAACTAGGGGTCTAGCATGTGGCATGATGGTTAAGGTGCTAGACTCTCGCATGGCGGACCAAGGTTTGAGTCCCTGACCTGGCAATTTGCTTTCTCTCTCTCTTTCTCTCTCTCTTTCTCTCTCTCTCTCTCTCTCTCTGGTGAGCATATGCGCCCTATAGCAAAATTCAAATAATAATGATAATAATAATAATAATAAATAATTTGAGGAAAGGAAAGAACTGGGAATAGAACTATAACCTTTAGAGCCATCAAGAGAATGGAGTGGACCTGCTTAGCTTGGTTCAGGGGTGAGAAGAGAAGCCAGCGAAAGAGAGGCATCATTTTCCTCTTTTAAAACTAAGAGCAAATGCACACATTTAAACCAGAGAAGAAAAGCAGGTATTCCTTCTAAGCCATTTTATTAGAAGGTAGATGTAGGGGGGAGCATCCAATGACAAGTCACCTGAAGGGAAGTCAGGCATGCAGATAGAGAATGGTAAGGAGTTGAAGCCCACTGCTGCTGGAGAACGGGTCACTGGTCCAGGGACCCAGAGCGCATCTGACCCCACAGCTTCTCAAGACGCCGAGAGGCAGAGCCGTTGGTGAGGGGTGTTCCTGGGCTCAGGGTGCTCACAGGCTAGTGCTGGGCACAAATTGGTCAACATATACTGTTTTGTCATGTAGATCTATTACCTGGACTATGGTCAGAGCAGAAATGGGCTCTGGAGTCTGAGTTGGAGATGTGAAGGCTGCCTAGGGAGACTTGTGATGAATCTTCAGAGCAAGATGAGATTCTTTGGAGGGGCTGACTTTATGGCCTGGTGGTGAAGGAGGTCAGATCCCACGTGGTTGACCATGCAGTTCAAATCCCAGCCCCACACCTTGAACAATATTCAGGGCGTGTGTGCGTGTGTGTGTGTGTGTGTGTGTGTGTGCACCTAACATCTTGACAGGATGGTTCTAAATTCTCGTTTTGTATCTCGGCTATCCCACTCTCATTCACTAACCTGTATTTACTCACGCACGGGCTCACTTTCCAAGCACAGGCTGACTAGTGAACACCGAGCAGTACTAAGCAAGGTCTCAGGACACAATGTTGACCGAAAATGAGAATGCCTCTTGCTTTTTAGTGGGTCACTGATTTTCGTAGGTGACAGAGGTCACCTACAAAATACTCTCACAGAGAAATGTGGAAGCCCGCCCATGCCAGCCTGGCGGTGCTCAGTCCCCTCGGAGCATAGCACAGCCGGCAAGAGCTCACTGGGCCAGGGACACGGGGCTCATCGCCCTGGCAGTGAGTGCGGTGGGAGGAGGGGGTGTCTGGAGGGCGTCTCTAGTTAGAGTGGGACTCTCTTCAAAAATTCGTGGAACAATGTGTAGATGAGAAAACTATGTTTAGATTTCAATAATTTTTTGCACCAAAGTAAACTTATACTTCAATTTCATTTTTCCACAAACTTCTCCAAGCCTCTCATACTATTTTGCTTGCCTGATGTAATTAATTGTTCCAGCTCTTCTTGTCTGGTTTCTGGTGCAAACCTTCAGAATAGCTTCTAATTACTTGCATTAGAAATCCAGAGAAACTCATTCTTGAAAGCATGTCATGACCATTCGGTTTCCTGTCCCTCGGCCTATAAGCCAGACTGGCCATGAAAAACTCTTTGACACAGACACAGATGAGCTGGGAGCAATGTAGAGACAGACATTTAAAACCGTTTTAGAACACCCCCCCCCCTTTCTTGCCTGTGGTTCCAGACAGGTGAGTACCAGCCTGTCAGCCTCACTCTGCAGCAGGAGCCCAGGCCCATGAACCTCGGGGCTCCTGCCGCGCACACGTGTCAGATCTGGAAACAGTGTCGCTGCTCAGGGCCAACTGCGCTGTTGGGTTGGACGGCCTATTGATTTTAGCACACACCAGCCTCGAGTGGCGCAGGGCAGGTGACCTGGCAGGCTCCAAGGGAGTGCTCCCCGTGAGGGAGCAGTGTATGGGGCAATCACTCGGGCTCAGCTGCGAGGACCAGGGGCTGAGTTGTGACATCCCCTTATTCACTCCTAACGTGGCCTTTTACACATTATGTCAGATGAGATTTTAACAAAACACACACACGGAACACGAACACATGAAACATGCACACACGAAACGTACACATGAAACACACACATGAAGCATACAGACACAAACGCGCACACACAAAACATGCACACATGAAGCACATACACATGAAACATGCACACGTGGAACACAAAGACAAAACACACATGTGAAACATGTACTCATGCAACACACGTAAAACACACCTACAGGAAACATGCACACACAGAACACACACACATGAAACATGCGGGTGCTGTCAGGGAAGTGCGCAGTGTCAGTTCCCAGACCCTCACGTGCTGGAGGGTGTTGATAGGAAGGTTGAAGGAAGAGTTACCCCAAGTGCTTCAGCCGCCAGAGAGAGAACCCGATGTTGAAAATTCTGCAGAACAGAACTCCCTCCAGGGGCGAAATTGCATACATTTTGGAAAAAATCATAATAAAATCTTTCAGGGGACTAGCAGATGGCATAATGGTTATGTCCCTGGGCCCCCACGTAGTGGACCACAGTTCGAGTCCTGGATGTGGTGGCTTAAACTCATGCTGGGTGTGTGTGCGTGTGCCCAAAGACCTGAGAGAATGGAAGAAAAGGGATTGTGGCATGGCCATCTCCCAGAGGGGTGATTTCTCGTTTTCTGTCTCTGTGTCTCTGGTGAGTGTATGTGCACTATAGCAAAAATCTCTCTCTCTCAAAAACAAATCTTCAGAATAAAGTAGAGAATGTCTGTAGTCTAGAATCCTGGTCAGTTAAGCTAACTTTTAAGGAGGTTTGGCCACATTCACTGGTTCCTGAGTGGAATATGCACGCTGAGTGCCTAGAACTGAGCTACCCAGGGGCCTGAAAGGACTGTGTTCTGCATTTAGTCTCTCATTCTTTAGGAGGAGGGAGTATATTTTTTCCAACAAAATGTTTGATTTTTTTCAGTAGTCTTTCTTAGGACAGTTTTCAACTTACAAAAATCTTAGTAGGACATTGTTACTGAACTCAAATCTAGTTCTCCTGCCCGAGTGCCACAAACCAAGCTGTGCAAGGCAAGGAGAGTGGGCATTGCTGGAAAGGACCAGCTCCCCGAGGAGCTCCTCACATGCATTTGTTCCCAGGCACGGGACGAGTTCAGTGACAGGTTCGAGAAGGCGTGGTCATCTCAGGGGCCCTCTTGACTGGCGAGGCCTTCCTGGTGTGCAGCAGCTCCAGGAGCCTAGACACTCATGCAAAGGGGCCGTCTCTTCTTCATTGACTAATTGATTGATTTCATCTTTGATAAAGACACAGAACTCATGGATACCTATTTTCTAACTTGACTCAAAATCCAAATAGTTAAATGTGCCTTGATTTTGTGGTCATGTTTTTCCAGCTCTGGCAAGGGACGGGCCTTCTGTGTGCCCTTGGGGCCAGAGTGGGACTCTTATGGGCTCCCTAGATCTGGACGTGGGAACCCCTAGCTTTAGTAGCCCAGGTACTTTGTTTTATTTTGGTGGGGGTGGGTGTGCGGGAGAAAACAAAGTGTGGGTGGAGTGAGCCCTACCTGCCAGTGCTCTGGGCCATCAGGCTCTGCGTGCCTGGGTATAGACTAACCCCACATTTAGAAGCCGAGAGCCACGTACATGGACCTGGGTTGGCCACGGACTGGCTGCAGTGGGGAAGCGCAGCGTCCACGCGAGGGGACGTGGCGAGGGTGACTGTGCGCCCCCGCTCAGAGCAGGGAGGAGGTGGCACCTGTCGCTGTGGTGCCCAGGTGTGAGCCTGTCTCTGTGACTGTCCTCCAGGTCCAGCTCCGTGCCTGTGGTTTCCCGCAGCACTCCAGGGCTGAGAGGCAGCCCGTGACTGCGCTGGGGAGAATGATGGAGTCGAGCTTCGCCAGCTGCCAGGCCTTCCCAGAAGCCCCTTCTCCGGACCGAGGAAGCCCGTGTGTCAAACAGCACAGGTACAGGTGGCCGGTGGAGGGCGCGTCCACACCATCCTCCGACAGCCTGGGGAGGGAGGCCTCCATGGGGTGCTCCCAGCTCGCGGGCACACGGGACCTGCCCCAGCGGAGCTGTCAACACGGACCTGCTGGCAGGCCCTGCCCAGACGGCGCTTTCTGAGAACCCCCGAGAACGCCGTGGGTCCTAACTGGCCTTCCTACCTCTGCAGAGCTAAGGAGCTGTCCCCAGGCAGCTGGGGGCACCCCCGGGAGTTCCGAACGGTTCTAACAAGAGGAGCCTTTGCAGGGCAGGTCTGGCCAGCCGCTCCTGGCTCCGTGGGACCTCGCTTCTCCCGGGAGCAGCCCTCTGCTGCAGACAGCACGAGACTGGGCCCCAGTGGGAGAAAGCCAAAACACAGTCACTCGGCTCACTTAGTGCTACTCTGAAGCTGGAGGTGTCCTCCGCCTTCTCTAGTCTACACGTTTGTGTTTCCGACGTGAGGAGTCTGGAACACCCAAAGCTGAGGGTGTCTGTCTCTAAGCCAATGTGAAGTTGGGGCTCAGCTGCAGAGTCGGCATCCAAAAGTGGAAGTAGCCCAAAGAGTTACGCCTCCCTTCACAGCGAGAAGTGCGATGTTCTACATTTTTAAAAATATAGTTAAAAATTTTAAGTTTAAAAGGAAAAAGGAACACTTGTCTCCAGCCGTGAAAGATAAATATTGTTGATGCTTTGTTCTTGCACACTGCAGTAACACTTTGAATACCCAGACAGAAACATTTGTCATAAGAGGAAACCGCCTTCTCTGTCGCTGCTTAATGAGCCCCAGTGTCACTGTTCCTGGTGACGCTGACTGTGAGATCTTCAGTCACTCTCCACACCGATGCTCGGCCGTTGAGAGCGATGTTTTAAGTTCTCCTTGTCCATGAGCAGAGACCCAGATACTCAGGGTAGCCAAGTAAAGAAAAATGATTCAAGTATCTTCAAACTCAGATGGAAATAGATTTGGTTCTCATAATTGCTTTACTTTTTTAACTTCAGGTTTTAGTTTGCATCAATTGTATTTATGGAATATTTCCCTGAGAAAGGAGCGTTTCGCCTTATTGGACCTCGTTAATGGAAGATGTGTTAATTAGGGAAATAAGTCCAAAGTTTCCAGCCTTTTACGGTGCACATTTTTCTCTAAAATAGTATTTTCCCTTTTGACTACAAGACATGTTAAGGTAATATTCCACCCAGCCAAGTAAATAATTCAATATGCTGCTTCTCTAGTACTGTATTTTCCTGTAAATATTTTTATGTTGAGGTTTTTTTTCTTAATTACAGCTTCTGATGCCTTCGAGCTGCATTACCCCCACTCTCAGCTCTCCTCTGTCCACCTGCAGCCTCCTAAGTGTGGCCTCCACATGGTGTCCGGGAGTCAGATTAAATGAGGACACCTGTCAAAGGGCTTCCTATTTTTTTTAAAGAATTATTTTAATTTAATTTTATTTATTCGTTCATTTATTTTAGTTTTTACCAGAGAGATACAGAGAGAGAGAGAGAGAGAAAGTGAGAAAGCAAGCCACCAGGTCCGGGACTCGAACTGTGGTCAGCTATGTGGGAGTGTCCAGCGCCTTAACCACCATGTCACCTGCTGGTCCCTCAAAGGGCTTCCTTTGTGTAGACAGGCACGGGTGATTTATAAGGCACTCTTAGAACTTTGTAAATTAGAGTTTAATGCATCACAGCTTCTGCTTTCTAAAACATGCAGTAGGCTTGCAGGCCTTCATGACTGACACGGGCCCCTGCTTTATGTACCCACGAGCGGTTGCGTCCTCTCTGGACGGCCCTGGGTTAGAAGGCCTGCAGAGCTGTGTCCGTAGACGGTTCACCAGTTCACAGTGGTAGACCTAACAGTTGTGACGATTCGGCAAGTTATGAATAATTAATATTTCTTTTTGTGCACTGCGAGTATGATTCACATGGATAACTCATTTATAAAATAAAGCCATTAACTTAAAGCCGTTATTTCTCATGTTTAGTCCAAAAGGGAAAGGACGTTTCAAAGACACAGGTCCTGCCTGTCAGGCGGACTGCGCTGTGTCTTGCTGAGGTAACTTGCTTGCAGGCAGCACCTGCAAGGGCTCGGGTGACCACGCGGTCCTGGGGGCTGTCGGTGGTGGCCAAGGAACGAGGCAGCTGGTGTGCTGAGCGCCCACTGCGTGCCCACTCCACGCTGGACCGCGTGCTCTCTCTGTCCTCCGCAGCACCCCACGGCCTTTTCTCCCCACCTGCCTTCTCGTCTCTGCCTCTCATGGCCTTACCCTGAGCTCGGGGGGTGCTGCCGGGCCCTTCCCCTCTGGCTTCTGCCGGTCCAACGTGAGGCACCGGCGTGAGGACAGAGGAGAGTGAGGCCATGGCCCGTCTGCATCCTTACACCCTGTGCAGTTACCACAGCGGTGTCCCCCCAAGGGCCACAGAGCCTGGCCAGCCGCTCCCTACAGCCCCCGTCCCTCTGCCCTCTGCTAGCTGCTCCCTCCAGCCAGAGGGACAGTGATGCCTTCCACTCAGCCTGGAGCTGAGTGACAGCTGTCTTCGCTGGCGTGTTCTCTCTCGAAACAGAACACGCCTTTGCGAATGGGAGTCTTCAAATGACCCAGAGCTCCAACGGGCCCGGGCACCTCCCAGCATCACATGACTGGTTACACCCAGAGCTGAGACCCACTCAAGGCCCGCGGCCACCCCGCTGTGCCCCGAGGTGACCCTGCAGCCACCACGGATGACAGCTAGAAGGCAGTGGGGCACCCTCACCTTAACTGCTCCCTCACACCTGGGCTGGGGCCTAGCTAGGTCCACACGCTTGCAGGGCATGCTGGGACTCAGGTGGGAGTGTGGGAACAGAGCAAAGGTGTGCTCTGCAGCCAGGTATGACCTGTGTCGCAGTGAAGCGGGAACTGCCGTCTGGTGGGGGACACAGCTTCGTCAGCCACCTGGCCAAACCAGGGACGTCGCTCCTGCACTCCATGGTCGGGCCTCCAACCCCGGCTTTACATGATATTTGCAAAGTTTTGCTCTGTGTTTATTAAGTAGAAATAACATAAACATTGACAGGAGAAAGGTAATAAAATAATTATTACATCAGGTGTAAAATTATATCCTGATTAATAATGGTGTGGGCACTAGTATGGGGAATATAGGTAACGTTCCTTTGGGAGGTGAGACCCTTCAGAACTTGACAGCGTCACTGAAAACGTGAGACACTGTTGATCTTTCTCCATATGGTGATGGTGATGTTTTCAGTTAAATGAGTGTGGCACAATTTCAGTTCACACACTACCGTGAACACTTCCCGGCCAGCCTAACCTCCTGGCTGGCCTGGAGTGGCTGCAGAGAATGAAGTGACCCTCGCCAGCTCACGGTCGGGGCAGCCCAGTGGGGCGGTGCAGGGAGCAGGTGGTAGGTACGGCTGCTGGGAGTCCAGTCTGCAGCCGTTTTGTGGCCTAGCTCTTCCTGGGTAACCCAGGCGGGCTCTTGCTCTGAAGGCCTCTGGGTCACCCTCACTCTGACTTGTCGTGGCCTCTAGCACATGGCGGTCTGGATGTCTGAGCCACGTGAAATCTGCAACCAGGTGTTTATTGAAAGCAAACTCAAGAGAAAACTAATTTTGTTCATGAAAATCTGGGCAGTGAACTGTGGCGTTAGCAGATGTGGGAGAAGGGTTTGTTTGCTCTGCCACCGAGTGAAGCTTCTCCATGGGGCCCTCTGGGCGTCCTGTGTTAGTTCTCGTCTGTCCAATGACAAGGCTGTTTTCATTGAATTAGACCGACAGCTGCTATGGCGTGAGTAGGCAGAGAGGGTGGGGATCATGGGCGTGGGGATCCCGGACGCATGCCTCCGATCTGGGGCTGGAAGCGTGCAATTATCTCACCCAGTTGTGCTCTACCCCAGAAAGCTAGCAGTAGAGGAACGCCTCTCAGTCTCCAGGGCATTAAAAGTGCGTCCCTCTAGTCACACGGCGCTCCCGCTCTCGGATAGCCTGCGGGCCTGGCACTAGGCGAGCCTGAGGGCAAATGCAGTGGTTGACAAGTCTGAGTGCCCCCCCCCCCCGGGGGGGTGGTACCTGGGGGGCTT